AGAGAGAGAGAGAGAGAGGGAATGGAATTTGTCCAGGAGGTTTAATGAGGTTTAATCATGGTAACTTTGTTAGATAAAGACTGTACCTGTGTATTTCTTGGGTACTGGGGGGCTGCTGATGTTCCATCCAACAGGCCCTCTGCTTTGCAGGGAACCGATGATCTGTTGAGCCAGCTGAGAAGAGGGACCTGAGCTAGGCAGGTGAGTCTGAGCATCCAGATGCTGGTGTTTGTAGGGGTAGTGGAGGGTCAGATTGTTAATGGGGCTGCAGGACGCCTGACCTGCTTCAGGGCTTAAGCTGGAGTTCTTCTCCCTGCAGGGGGTCACTGGGTACGGGGACCTCTCCTTCCATAGCCCCTTCTGTGGGGAGCAGCTTAAGTGGTCTGGCTGGAAGAGGCGAGTGGCCTGCTGCTAGCCATAAATAAGCATAAAGAAGGTTACTGAAATGCGTAGTTTTGTAACAGACACTCATAGAGGAATGTTATATGTCTTTCACACTGGATCCTTATTTAGCTGAACATATAGTCTGGCTAATAAAGGACTGACATTCTGAGATAAATTTGATTTCCTCAAATAAAAGCTGGATCTCAAATAATGGTGGTGGTCGCCATGAACAAATAAAGGCTGGTCCAAAATACAGGCTGGGGAAAAAAACAGGGTGGATAAACTCCCAGTGCATGTTATGTATGTCTATGCCAACTAAGGCTAATTAGCCTAATTCCATTCCATAAATCCATTGCTTTAAATTAATAAATTCAACAGTAAAATTATGCTATTTTCAGCACTTTGTTGTTGTGGATTACTCTTACTCATCTTACTGTAGAAACATGGCGAACCCACTCCCTTTGTAGCAGGGGCGTGTTGAAGTATCTTGCAAGCAAGATAACGAAACCAAAATTTGCCCCGTGCTGTGGGTATTGAGTGAAATTGTGGGTGGAAGGGTAAATGTGGCACATAGTGTAAAAGTGCTTTGAGTGGTCGGAAGAATAGAAAGGTTTGTTAGATTTCACCAAAAATCCATCTTTGTCAATATCTTGTTACTTTTTCTGTATAAACCTGTGTATTTTTTTGGGGGGAGCTTTTATTTTGTTAATTGTATTTTGGAAAAAGAGGCTTTGGAGAGACTTGAGGTTGTTTTCCAGCGGCTCAGACTTCACAACCTTAAACTAAGCCCCCAAAAATTCCACTTGTTGAGATCTTCGGTCAAGTTTCTTGGTCACATCATAGATGGCAATGGAGTGGTTGTGGACCCGGCAAAAATTGAGGTTATATCTAAAATGTAAAAAGCAGACCTGATGGAGGATGATGGCTACACACCACCAGCAAAGAGGATAAAATCCTTTCTGGGAATGATGTTCCACTACCAACATTTCATCCCTAACTGTTCTTCGATAGCCATGTCATTGTTTGCTCTCACTGCTGGACAAAAGTCAGAACCAGTTCCAACCCTGGCTCATTCAGGAAGCTCAGACCCTCTGATTGGACAAATGAGTGTGACGTGGCTCTCAGTAACCTGAAATAAAATAAGTCTTTCTTGTCGTTGGTATGTGGGGAAATGCTTTTGATTTTATAATGAAATTTTGACTGTACGATCACATTGAAATGTATTTTGGTTTATTATTTTAATAAGAACACTGCACGTGTTATTGAGTAGCGGTGCGCTATGCTGAGGAGAGGTGTGCGTGTGGGAACCAAGTTGCTGTACTGATTTTATGTGTGTAGTACACAGAGAAAAAATTCCCCGTCCAACTGGCAAAGCAGCAGATGTCTGTCGTCCGTTTCACAACAACACAACGCAGAGTCAAATTAAAGGAGTGTCAGGCCACGCCGGCTACACAAGTACAGGTCCATTTACCATTTACCAACTTATGCAGAGGTGGCATGAAGTATGAGTGTCAGCTTTCCAGTCACACCCAAAGAATGCAATTCCCATACTGTTCCTGGACCCCAGTATGCAGAAATATTCAGAATCAGAATCAGAAATATTTTATTGATCTCCAGGGGGAAATTTGTTAATATTTTTCCGTCTGCAAAAAAAAACAAAACTTTGGAGCGTTATTTAGCCACCTTCTCGACATGCTAACATGACACGTTTGTTTAATAACTGTGTGAAAACATTCACCTTCTGTTTACTCATCAGTAAGCCAACTGGAAGTCCCACCTCAGGATAGGGAGCGGCTCTGAGTTTGGTTTTCATCTTGACTGCTTTGTTTCTGAGTTGTTTGTGGTGGTCCTGAGAGGAAGTAAGGCTAAGACCAGGCTTAGTGGCTCGACTCTGGTCCTCAGATAATTGCAGCTCCTTGCACTCGATGTCACTGTGTACAAACAGACAGGCATACACTGTGTATCTTTGCATTGGTTTAACTGAAGGTTTTACATTCAAAATGACAGGGGGAGTGGCAGACTCACGTGAGGACGTAGTTCACACTGACAATACAATGAGGTCTGGAGGAACGGCTGTTATGGACGATGGTGGCATAGCTCTGCACCCACACCCAACCTCCATGCTTTGATAACATGCGGTAGTACTTAGTGGTGACCTGCCCCTTCACCAGTACTACAGGGAACAAAAAGATAAGGGTCAAAGTTGAAAAATTGTTAAATATGACATCAGCCCCTTGGAATCACACAGGGCCCACTATTATGCATCAGTTGTTCAAATAAGAAATTTCTCTGACTGCAACTTTAAAGGTGCAATATGTAAGAACTGGCCACTTGTTGAACTTATACTCAGCAGCATAGGCACAAGAGCTTTGGGCTGCCGAAAGGAGGAGGTTTTCAGGCTCAGAGCGGGGGGACAAAACTGAGAGTGGCACTAAAATGGGCACTAGAACTGGATACAGGCAAGCAGGAAATGGAACTGGGCTCAGCTGCCTCTCGATGAACACGGCTGGACTGGAACCAAACACAGGTCGGTGTGGCGCTCTTTGCTTATGGGCAAGAACACAGCGTGTCAGGTCTATATCCTCTCCTGATAACCGCTAATCCCAGTGAATTACAGTGAGCGTGATTTACAGTGGCTCCAACCAGGATGACTCCGGGGATGACAAAGACACAGCAGGGACAGGAGAGGCATCAAGCAGTAGAGAAGTGAGAGGGATTTCGGGCATCAGAGAGGCAGTGTAGGAAAAAATGGCATAAAGCCATAATGTTTTCACACCTAACTATGAAGTTTTATTTTGACCAAACCGGAGTTGGTGATTCTTACATGTTGCATCTTTAAACCTGCAATAACTAATGTATTTAGCCACTTGAGGGCAGCGATGAGTAGAAAGCGACACATACACCACTTGCTTGGTGCAGAGAATAAAATCCCCTTAAAAAAAAACAGTCCAGAGAAAAAAAGTCAAGGTGTGTGTGCTAGTTGACAGAAACAGGCTTTGAAACACAACATTAACATATAATCTTTTTAAGTTAAGATATGGTGAACTTGGCAGTTGCTTACCTACACATCAATTAGTTCCAGAGCAACATTATCATTTATGAAATCATGTTTCTGGTCAGCTGGCTGGTACAATATTCAATCTATGGCTTAGAAACATATCTGGCTCTTTAGCAGCTCCATTATTCACCAGCTAGCCTCCAACTGTGTCTGGCCACAGTTTGGTGCTGGGCAGGGGGTGTACAGTGGGTTTTTACAGCTTTTTATCTGGTAATACCTGCCTGCAGCAGAAAACAACACAATGAGAGCGGTGAGAGTGTACCAAAACAGTAAAGTTGCAGCCAGATGGATAAACAATGAGCTGAAACTCTCTCTGTATCTTTTTTCCTCCATCAACCATTTCTGCCTGTTCAATAACATTTCTAGTCATTCCCTTTGTCAGTGCCCGATCTGCACCTCTTGGCATATCGGTACTGCGCATGTGCAGCTTCAGCAAAGATGCGGAAACATAAAGGAAACATGATGGCTCACTTATTACTTATTAAACTGTGTTTAATTCAGGATATTAATCAGTTTTAACCATAGACTGTACAATTAAAAATGGACGTAGTCTCCCATAGGTTTCTGAAGAGCCGTTGTGCAGCTCAGTGTGGTCAGCTCGGGCTATTGCCATTTTGGCAGGCCTAACTCCACCCACTCCCAGCTAATCCAAAAATGGGCAAAGACGTAGAGCGTGGGTGGAGCTGAGCCGGGCTGAATGAAGCCTGGTTACCGAAAAGAGCTGACTGTGATGACATCTACCTGCCACTCAATGCAGCCACACCCTTAATTATGCATACATTTAAGCCTTAAAATTAATTAAACATGTGAAATAAATATCCCCTCCCCCATACAGTTATCTTCAACAGGGAAATTAGCTAAAAGACAATATAAACCTTTTTTATACTAAGCTGTAACATGTTTATTTTTGCTGTAAAGTAAGTAAAGAATGCAGGTCATTTGCAGTCACTGAGGTTACAGCTTGGTTTTAATGTCTTCTTGATGCATTCTGATGAGGTATCACATCTATCAGTATGTGTGAGACATACCACCATATGTTCATAGCTAACGTTAGCAAAGTGTTGCCAAAGTTTTGCTAAGTTAGTTACTGCTACCTTAGCTAATACTGACAAGTAAGGAATTTTTAAATGAAAAAATTAAATATAATAATAATACATGTTATGAGGCATGTTAATGATAATTAAAATATCTACTATGATCTCTGTTGAACATTGCACGTACTGATCTGGCTGGAGGTACTGACACCCTTTCAACTCAGCAGCTGCCCTCAGTTCTTCCGTAAAATTCAAAAAAGTTGAACTCCATGTTGAAGCACGTTGCAAATTTACTATGTCCTTGTTGCAATCAGTCTTGTTCGCAGCCCCCATGCCCTAACCTCAAATATATCAAATAAAGAAAACTAACCCTAACCCTAACTCTAGCCTGAAAAATTGTAATTGACTTGGTACATTGTCAGATTGCTCTAAAAGCTGAAAGACAGCATCTTTGTTTGTTAGCTGACTCCAAAATACACTGGGGAGAAATACACAAGGACAGCACATTCTGTGTGAATCATACCATCACCAACACACACATGCTAATCATACACCAGTGTGTTATGGCTGTTTCTGTATATCTGGGTTTCACTCACTAACCCTTTGAAAACTGGGTCTGTTGCTGATTTGTCACTACTTTGTCTACTTACCCTCCCACCCAGTTGGTCTGACTAAGGATTTCAAGACTCACATAAATGGTGAGCATAGCGTAGATGGAAAACATCACAGGCGTGGACGTGGTGGTAGAGAGTCTTCTCTATCAGGTCCTGAGGCTCATAGCCTGTCAGCTCTGCCACTCTGGCGCAAGCACACAGGAGAAAGGGTACAAGCAACAGTCAGGGGTTGATTTGTGCTTAAGTGCATCATAAGGTTTGGTTAAAACTGCAGTAGTAATTTTTATACAAATAAATTTTTGTCATACGTCTACATATTTCTATATTGTAATTTCAAATAATTTTTCTGTTAATTATTTTTGATGGTTTCTATGATTTTATCATAGAAATCATCAAGATATCATAATATCACGGCTTTCATCTACCCATTCTCCTGCTCAGTGAAGTGTCTCTCCTACCTTGTGTCCAAGAAAATTAGTTTAAAGTCCAGGCTGGCCCGGAACATGAACATGTTGCTGTGGAGTTTTATCTCAGTAATACCACTGGGGGGCAGGGAGTGACCGACTGCCACCAGACCCACAGTCTGATAACAGGATTCATACAGCGGCATGTCCATCATGTACTGACGCACTTTCAGATAGCCGCTGCAGTGGATGACCTGGGGAACAATGGTATGAAACCAGCATCATTACACGTTTCACACATTCACTTGAGGGTTTATAACAAAAAAAGTTCAAATACAGCTTTGTGTGACGGTAGTTGATTATTGAGTCTCCTGGGAATGAGACTCAACAACTATCTTTCTTGGCTCTGATTGGGTTGTTTTTGTTCAGGCACAGTGGATTCTTGCAAATGCCATTAGGAGCACTAGAAGGAACCTAATTTTTTCACAGATCATCCTTCGCATATACTACTGTCAGGATAAAATGAAAATTTCAGAAAATATGACAAAAACGTTACCTAGTGCAGCTTTAAACTACGGTTCCTTAGTGCTCCCACCACTTTGCAACTGCTGCTATATTACCAGCCAACATTACTTCCTTAAGTAGTGCCTGTGTGTTTGTAATAATTATGGGACTCAATTCATTGAAATAATTCAACATAGATCTGACCGTAGCTCTAGTTTTATTGAGGAGTAACTGAACATTCATGAATTTCCTAAATGTGTAGCTATAGTATATAGTGCCGTACACTTATACTGTCATGATGACATTAGTGACGTGTAGTAATAGTAGTAAGTGTGTGTAATAAAGTAACACTCTTGGAGTTAAAGACAAGCCTATGGATGTCCGTTATGTATGTCGAGTCACCCGGTCATGAAGAACTGTAACATGGTGTCAGAAGTCGGTCCAGTTCGTGAGTTTGCCGAAGTCGAAAAACACCAGAGTTTTGCTAGCTAAAAGTTGTGCTAGCGGTAGCATCCCTTAAAGAGTGGGAGACGCACGGAGACCTGCAACGACAGGAGACGGTACGATGGAGCAGTTCAAACTACCATCGCCGCTGGTGTTGACGGGCAACTTGGGAGAAAACTGGAGACGATGGGAACAGCGCTTCCAAATCTACATGACCGTGAGTGGTGCAGAGAGTAAGGACGAAATGATCAAAGTTGCCATCTTACTGCACGCACTAGGAGAGGAGGCTCTTGAAGTGTATAACACACTTAACATTTCAGAAGAAAAGGCTGTGAAAGATGTTCTCACAGCTTTTGAAGCCTATTGTCTGCCCAAGAAGAATACAGTGTTTGAAAGGCACCAATTTTGGGTGCACC